TGTTTAACAGGAAATTGTGTTGATCTAAAAAACGAATAAATAAAGAAAAAGATAAACATAAATAACTAAAGCAGCATTTTTTTCTCTAGTTAAACCATTTGTGCACATGGATTCTGTTTCAAGCAGTCGGGAGGACGCCATGACGGCTATCAGGGCGAGGCTGTTTATTTATTTTTTATTTTTTTTCTTAAAGCTGATTCGGATTTGATTAAATGATAAGAAGAAATATTTTTAAAGATCTACCCCCCACCCCGGGTCTATTAATGTTTGGCAGCTTTCTCTTCTTCTTATCCTCTTCTTATTCCCAGCCCAGCTGTTTTGCACACTCCCTATAACGATTCCACCCAGAGAATCAGCAGCACGACAGACGCAAGATGCACGCTCTGCGTGTCTCACAGCCCACGGTTAGAATGCGGGGTGTAGCGTGGAGAGGGAAGCGGGATCCCGGCGCGGAGCCTCTGGAGGAGAACCTACTGCACGGCTGTCGTAAAAAGAGCAAAGACGGAGAAGCAGAAGAAGGCAAGAGGAAAGAGGGAGAGATGGGATTCCGTTCGCAGTCAGGCGCAATAAAAGAATATGACGGCAATAAAAGTTTATAGCGTATAAATTTCTGAAGGTTAAGAACTAAATGGCTGTAAAACAAACACGCCGTGAGGAATAAAGGAGGGAGACGAAAAGCATCGAAGATAAAAAGAAGCAGAGGAAAGTTTCTGTTTTCCGCTGCGCTTTGCAGCACATACCGGTTGGCACAGACGCACAGGACAGTCAGTGAGAGGGATTAGAGGAATAAAGAGAGCCCTGCAGGACTGGAAGCCGCGGATGTTCAGCAAATGGAGCCAAATATGAATGCGTGACAAGAGAGGAAAGAGTGAGCTATATAACTGCAGCTGAAGACAAGGAGAAGCATCCTCCCTTTGCTTCCTCCTTCCCTCAGCTTCGGTAGGTTTGGTAACCTACCAGGGTGCGCGCGCGCGCATGTGTGTTCTCCTCTTGACCTCTTTTTGTCTCCCTCTCTTGCAGGCTAACAGCAGGCGCCATTAACTTCCACATCCAAACACATGAGTTGAAAGGAAGCTGCACATTCAGATCCGATCCAAAGCAGGACAGTGAGACCCGGCGGCTCCCACTGAAATATAAGAACAACACAGAGTGCCACATTTATAAGTTCTGGTGGTTCTAGATGAAATTTACCAGGGGGCAGAATGGAGGGCATAGAACAAAAGAATAACACACAAAAAAACTCGAACAAGAGTGTTTAGTGCTATAAATGACCCATAAAGGTTGTATTACCCCAGGTTTTGATCTAAGGCATAAAATATGATCAGCAGATGAAGCTAAAGCTCGCAATTTCTAAATAATTATTCCTAGTAAGGACAGTAAATTGTCCAGGCAAAATATAATATTAAATTAGTCCCAGGTACTAATCAGTAAAAGTCTCTTCTGTCATTATTAGAAATTGATTTACAATGCAAAAACACATCTGAAAAGTATTTTTTATTTTTATTTATTTATAATTGCATCTGCTAATTGCAACAATTTTGCTATGTGTGTTTTCAGTACAGGGGCCATAAAAGGGGCCGGGACTACTTCTACAGGGGCACAGGCCCCTTTGGCCCCTGTATAGAACTGCCTCTGCAATTGGTGCATTCGTGTACTGTCAACACACCAAAGACATTTTGATTTTTGAAGAACGTGCAAATATGTTAACATCAGATTTATTTGTCTGCGTGTTTTAATGATGGAAGCTGACCTCTTGTATGTGTGTGTGTGTGTGTGTGTGTGTGTGTGTGTGTGTGTGTGTGTGTTTTCTACAGTTTCAGCATTAAAATGAGGACCAGATTGCAGATTTCACCATCAAACAGGGGCGCATTTGTAACAAAATGGGGACATTTTTCTGGGCCTCTCTTATTTTTAGTCAGTGGTTGGTTTTTGGACCAGGGTGTGAGCTGAGTTTAGTTTTAGTTTAGGTATTTACTATAGGTTAATGTCAGGGTTAGAGCAGAGAAGGGGTTAAAAATGACTGGGGAAAAAAAACAACAACAAAATGACGTTTGCCTTATCTTCTCCTTCTTTCACACACACACTTGCCTCGCTATATTTGTGGGCCATTTCCATTCATTTCTAACCTATACCTCTGGCCTTTACCCTAAACCTAACCATTACCAATGCATAACTAACCCCAACCTAAACTCAATTCACACCTTAGTCCTAAATGTGACCCCTGACCCTAAAACAGCAAATCTCTTTAAGGGGCTCCATGTATTGGGCCCCACAAAGAGCAGTTGGTCCCCACAACGTGATATTTTCCAGAAAACGTACCTCACAGTGTGTTAAATACAAGAACACACACACACACACACTCAAATGGCTTCTTTGTACTTTTTTCTATTAGAAGTGAATATTTCCTTTTTAACTTACACACTCTGAGTTAATCTGCTAATTTCATCATTACCCAATTTTTGTTAAGTGTGAATAATTATTTAATAGTGTAAAACATACTCTTAAATATTATTTCTTAATATATTTTTTATCTAATGGGTTTGCATTCACTTCAGCCGTGAGATGCACATGTAAAAAGGTGTTGATGTTTTGGCTTCCTGTCAGAACTATTACACCCACTACGATTGGTTAAAAAAATAAAGTAAAAAAATGTTATATATATTTTTCCTTTAATTTCCTTTA